TATGCATCCTGGTATGCCCTGGCAGCACCTTTCCGTTACAGGGCTGGGTGTGTGTAGGGCTTGGTTTCTTTTGGGAGGTTTCTTCTAGTACATGGTAGTTTCTTTTTATGCTTCGTGAAACAGCCAGGTGCCACAGTCCCTCATGTTCAGCCTCTGTGACCTGCTCATGGCTGCTGGAGCTCGTTTTAGTGGCCTCAGTGAGCTGTCCTGCCTGTTTGGCTTCAGATACAAGAATTGTCGCTATCTGAATACTAAAATCCCCAAGGCTGCGTGGGACAACAGAACATTTTGGAGATATGTTCTCTGCTGGAAAAAGGAGAGGAGGTACCCCCGGGCTGTGCCGGTGGACAGGGGAGTTGTCCCAGAGCTCTTGTCACCTGGAAAAGAGAGGAGGAGGACAAAAGGGGAACACAGCTTTTATGGGAGGTGGTAGACTCACATCAGTCGTGGGTGTGGATTATTTCTTGCTATCGGAACTCAGATTATGATCTCTGACATTCTCGCATGACGTTTTTTCCATGTCCCCACAGGGGAAGTTCCCTGTGTAGCTTTGCTGCATGTTTTCCCTTCCTCGTTCTGTGGATGTTACTGCGCCGAGGCAGGTTTGACACATTTTCCTCCTTGTACCTGAACCTGCCGTTCCTAGAAAGGATTGTGGGCCACCGCTGCTGAGTTCTGACTTGGGCCTTTGGAGAATTTATCTTTGCAGAAGCTTATCAGCCTTAGCCAGTGCAGAAATAAACACAGGAAAATCCCAGCCTTATCAGGGCTCTCTGCTGCTAGCACATTGCTAAGCATAAATTGTGAGACTCAACACTTCCTCTGTTAACTCTTGGTAGAAATTGGTTTCCTTTCCCGAAATCTGCTGTGCTTGGCTCTCTGAGACGTGCAAGCCACTGCTTAGATATTAATTTTCACTTCCCTCTTTCCTTTTCAAGCTTTATAGGACTGACTTTCCTTCGCCAGCAAAAATTTTGGTTGTTTAGTCATAGCCAGCTAAAACTCCAAGTTAGTGTAAGGCAGGACTGTTGGTATAATTGCTGGGTGTCTTTCCACAGCCAAAGTCATCAGCAACAATATTTCTGATTTAACCAATAGTCCCTGGGATCACAAGATATGAACTGGTGTGTTGGGAAGTGCCGACTCGAATTCCTTCTGAATTTGAGACTCCTCCCTGCTTGATTGCTGCCCCATAATTGAAGGCATCGGCATGGCAGCAGTTGCATCAGACATGTGAGTGGAGGCTCCCTCCCGCCTTGGGCAGGCAGTGTAGCAGTACGGACGCAGTGAAGCGCTGTGGCACAAAGACATTTGTGCTGCAACTGAGCAGCAGCCCGGTTTGTGAATTCATTTCCTGGCTGACTTCGCGACGGCATGTTGCATGGTCATGTCTGTTCATCTGCGGTCCTGAATTCGGCTCTCCCTCCTCTCCAGGCTGCTCCAGCTTAGGGGACCGTGTCCTTCTCCTGGAAGAGAGGGTATTCTCCCCATGGGGAGCCTTGCCCCACACCTCTTCTGTGTGGGAAGAGTTTAAAGTGGACCTGGAAAGCAAACATTATTGGGGAATTAAGTGGCATTCTCAGTTTTCCTTTTCTTCTTCTTTAGTTCAAATGAAAGTCAGAGACGGCTGTGAAGGAAAGAGGCGTTAAAGAGGAAAAGGATGTCGAAACACAGAGATTGTGCTTTCCAGCGTGCTGCTCGCCTGGCTTCTGGTTAGAATGTCCTTTTTTAACCAGTTGACTGTTTTGTACATGACACCTGCATGTTGTGAAGAGCAACAGGTGGAAGAAGAAGTGGCTATATGCCCAGGACATAGCAGATGCCCTGAGAATGTACCTAAATCACATGCCGCTATCGTGGTCGCTTCTTTATCAGGAGCGTGGAAGAAGAATGCCCTATTTAGCCAGTGATTCTTTGCATAAGAAATAGCTGTTTAGGGTGGTATTGTTTTTCCTTCTCAGGAACCACTGCCTAAAACAGGAAGCTGTTTATTTAGGTGATCCATATTTTACCAGCTGGTGTACAAAGGGCAGTGCTATCTGAACTGACCTTTGCTGGGGTTTGTTTCCCTCTTGCCAGGCAGGTAGGATTTGTGCTAAGGTGACCTTTGCTAAAGGGACAGTAAGGCTAAGTTTATACATTTCCAGAATAACTCAGCATTAGGTAGCTCAGAATGTGGGATGAGAGTTTTCAGTCGCTCCTCTTCCTCTACCCATCCAGTGTGCAGGTGTGTTTTTCCAAAGAGCTCAGTGTACTGAACTGACTTTGGGAGTTGAGATTTTTTAAAACTCTACTTAAGGGTTCTTTGTGCTTGAGAATACTGCTCTAAGCTTGTTTTGAAATCTGCCTGTAGGAACTGTGCTGAGCTTGGCTGAAGAATCTCTTCTCCTGGCCAGTGCAGTAACATTTATGATCTAGAATTGTCTAAAGGGCTCTGTATGTGGCCTTCTCAAGATTATCTAGACATTTCTTGACGTGTCACATAGAAATGTGATTCCCCTCACCCTCCAAATGCATTGTATTTGGATGCTCCATTCCACTTCCAGCATGTTTGTGTCGTGTATTTGGAACTGGCAGCTGATTATTTTTATTTTCAATGCAAGAGTTAGGTAACTGTTCACTGTTGAACACTGGGTTAGGAACAATGGTGGCCAGCCTATGTTATTTCTCTGCCAAATGTAATTTTTAAATGGAGAAGGGAACTGACACACTTTGAATATGAGAATTTATTGCCCAGAACAAATGTGTGGCTCAAGATGTGTTTTATTTTTCTTCTGCTTCTCTCACTTGTAGTGAGCTTTTGGGAAAGTGTATTTCAGTTGCACATTTTTTCTCTCTGGGCCCGTTTGTCCTGTCACTCTCAGTGAGTGTCATACACCCAATGCATTTCTGCATTATTCCAGAGAAAGGAGAATGTCAACATTTTGAGACAAGACATTTGAAGGGCAAAATTAAGCAGGCTATTTTATGTCATGGGTTTACAGAACCATATTATGATTTTTGTGGCTGTATTTCCTCTCATATGAATTGTCTTGAGATACGGTCGCAGAAAGTGTGTGTGTGTGTGAGGGAAGTGGATCTACACAATGCACTTTGAGAATGTCATTGGTAAAGTTACGTAAATTTGTTCTCAAGGTTGGAAAATACATTAGGGTTGAGTTTCATTTTCTCTTATGTTTCCAGAACCCCAAGATTTCTTTCAGTTTGCTTGAAGGATTGTGTGTGCAGGTGCGTCTTTGATGGACAATGCGTGTGGTCCCTGGGCCAGGTAGGCAGACTGGCTCCTCTCCATTCTGTCAAAGCAGAACTTCCCTAGGAGGGAAAATGGTGCCCTGTGCCATGCAGGGGTACTTTCTTGGTGGAGGGGATGTGTGTTGAGGGGTATGACAACCAGGAAGAGTATGGTGTATTGTGCTTGTTTGAAGAGGAAGTTAACAGGCAAGTTAGCAGTGTTTGTAGCCACAATACAGACAGCTGGTTTTGAAGGCATCTTTGTGGTGGCTGCTTTACCTGGAAGGAGGTGTAGAGGGGTCATGGCCACAGGCACACAAATACAGGTGCCATTTAGAGGGTTAGGGAGGATTGGAGTGCTTCTGGCCACCTTGGGCTGCTGAGGCTGTCTCCTGTCTGGCAGGTGTTGTCATGATGTAGACCAGTCTTTGCACATTCAACCCAGCCCATGTGCTCTTGTTCCTCTCCATCTTCCGCTGCACACCTCTGCTGGGTGTCCAGAGCTGGAGACTCACTGGAGCTGGGCTCCCTGGCTGCACCAGGAGTGACTTTCATCAGCTCCTCTGTGACGAAGTAAGGGTAATAAGGAAGGATAGTAACCCAGCACACAACGCAGATCCCTCCCTCGCATCCTTGGTGGCCTTGGATGCTGAGGTGAACTAGAGGGTTAGTGATAAATCACTGTCCTGGGCACAGAGGGTCACGTGCTACAGGAAACTCCACCACAGCCTCCTCCAGGCTGGTTCCTACCCTTACCTGGATGTATGCTGTCTTCAGATCTTATTTTTTTAAACTCCAAGCAGTGCTCCTTGTTACTTCATGTTATGCCAACCGGATCCACAGCCAGTTCAGCACGGTGTTGCCAGGAGATTCTCCTGCTAGTGGTCATGTGTGCAAGCACGGTCCTGACAAACATTGCAGAGACCTCGACCTCAGCTCACACCCTCTGTACCTATTTATTCCCAAAGGAACAGCCAGTTGGGAAGGCTGCTTCACCTTAGTGATCTTTTTGGTTTGAGGGTTAGCGTGCTAAGGTGGGACAGGGGAAGGCTACACGTTCTCTCGGTGTGACTTTGTAGTGCTGGAGTGGGCCAAGAACCAGATCTAGCAGTTTGCATCCATACCTGGCAGATGGGATCATGGTACGCATGCTTTGTAGTCTGTGCATTGCTTCCCCATTAAGAAAATATTATTCTCTGCAAACTAAAGCCCAAGCACAGACTGATGTAACTGCACTGTGAATGAGGGACTGACACAGAGGGTGTACCGGTATGGTAGCTCAGGTGCACCTTGGGTTGTTAAGGGGCTGAAACAGATGCTTTTAAGCAAATTCTCATGGTCAGGCAAAGTTATTAATGAGAGAATTAAAACTGAACTAGTTAAACTGTGCTGTTGGCATTTTTCCCTTATTAATTTGTGTGGGTTTCTTGTGCTTGCCACTTAGAGATAAAACAGAAGAAGTGGTTTCGTTTTCCATCTCCAACAAGAACTGTGATGTAACACCCTGCCTGATAACCGCAGCGATGACATACTGCAAGAGAGTCGTTCTGTTTTCTGTAAATGTGAGACTGTCACTTGTGGAATGCCGCGAAAGCGGATGCTGCATGCCTGCTCCCCCAACTTTCCCTTCCCCCCCTTTTTCTCCCCCTTCTCCCCCCCCTTTTTCTCCCCCTTCTCCCCCCCTTTTTCTCC